CACAAAATAAAGAGTAATCTGAAACTATAAATTTTTATTAGGATAAAATGATATTTTTTAACGGTTATAAAATTCTAATAAAAATACTCTCAATCTAAAATTTTCTCTCAATTGGGCATTCAAATAATTATGTTTAAGTGATATATTGTATTGAATATAAAAAAATATTATATAAATATCTACATTCTATTGGACATTTAAATGGTAAACTTGATTTTGAATTTTAGAGTATATCGAACTCACAAATTAAAGAGTAATATGAAATTATAATTTTTTATTAAGATAAAATCATGTTTTTTTAACGGTTATATTAACAGATATCAACTAAAAAGAGTTACATGTTACACGTGCACAATCGTCATGAGATGTAAGAGTAATATTCTAAATGAGAAGAGGTCCAAATGATTAAGTGGCAAGCATGAGGGGATTTAGGTATAATTTATCAATTTGATTTTAGGTAGCAAACTGCCGACAATTAGTTTTAAGTGCACATTGATATAAATTTCTATCTTTGAGGGGTGCAAATTAAGATTTTTTATCTTTGGGGATGCACATTGATATAAATTTTTATCTTTAAGGGTGCAAATTGAGATTTTTGATCTTTGAAGATGTACATTAATATAAATTTCTATTTTTGAGGGTACAAATTGAAATTTTTTATCTTTGGGAGTACAAACTAAAATTCGAACGATCTTTCAGAGTACAATTTATAATTAAACCCNCACACTCCAACAGATTATCTATATTTTTAACTACTTTCTTAAAATATTATTTCTCATTCTTTTTTATTATTATTCTTTTCAACAACAAAATTTTGAAACAATCATCATTCTCAACCATCAAATTTCCCAAACGGCTCTATTTTTAACGGCTCTATTTTAACAGCTCTATTTTAACGGCTATTTNTAATTTTTTAATAGCATAGAATTATGTTAATATATACAAGCTAGTCCTAAAAAAAAAATTAGATATGTCACAACCAAATGAGTTTTTCATTTTTTTTTAAAATTTTTTTACAACAATAAAAACAACCAAATACAATATTTGTTTTCATTTTTTGCTATCGAAAATTTAAAATTAATTCTATTTTTCATTTTTTAGAAAATAAAAAAACTATAAATGTTACTAAACAAGCCCCTAGTGATTCCAAGTACTTAGAGCATCTCCAAGAGGCTAGTTAAACCCTCCGCTTTAGCTATTTTAGATAGTTTTCTCCTTAAATATTGTTCCAGGAGACTAGCTAAAAGGCTATCTAAAATAGATAACCTCATTTCACTCGATAGATGTAGCTAGCCGGTAACTCCCTCGCCGGCGCCAATCTCTCACTCGTCGCCTCCTCTTCCTCTTCAAGTTTCAGCTCATCTACAATGACCCATTTCTTCCCTCATCTGTTTTAATTCTTTGGACTTCGATTTTTGAGCGAGAGAGAGAGAGATAGAATTTTTCATTTTTATGACCAGAAAGATGCAAACGGAAAGAACAGAGTTGATGCGATCGATGGTGGCAGCGACAGATACCAAAGAGAAGCATCAGATTTCGGCTAAATTGAAGCAATTTGAGCAAGAAGTTTTCTTCTTGGAGGTTAGTTCTTGTTGTCACTTTGACCCTTTTCGGCTAATCAAGTTTGATTTTTCTACTCTTTGTTAGTTGGGTAATTGGTGGTTGAACAGAAAGTATTTGGGGATTTTTACCATCTGGATTTTACCATCTGTATTATCGCTGAGCTTTGTATGAGAAGACAAAGAATTGAGGTGGTAAAAAATTCTAACAAAACGCTCCTAAAAATTTAGTAAAATCCCTAAAAAATTCAAAAAACTCCTCCAAAATCCAACAAAACTCCCTAAGTATTTTATGATATTTACTCTTATAACCCATCTTTTATGATATTTATTCTTGTAGCCCATAATTGATTAAATTTATACAATATATAGTTGAATTGTTATTTTTTGAATTTTATTATTGAAAGTTAGTTAAAGTTAATTGAAATGGTTAGTTAAAATAGATAGCGTTGTTAGAGCATCTCCAACAATAGTAGCTATTTTAGCTACTCAAAAAATAATATTTTCTATTTTAACTACTCACTTTTTTAATGCACACTCCAACAGATTATCTATATTTTTAACTACTTTCTTAAAATATTATTTCTCATTCTTTTTTATTATTATTCTTTTCAACAACAAAATTTTGAAACAATCATCATTCTCAACCATCAAATTTCCCAAACGGCTCTATTTTTAACGGCTCTATTTTAACAGCTCTATTTTAACGGCTATTTAGACTATTTCTTGAGTCATTTTGTTCAAAGTCCACAGCCATCCCAACTTGTTCAGGCTAATTTTATTTCAACGGCAGTGGACTATAAAGAAGAGAAGATCATTTTCATTCAAAGTCCATTCCACCTACACTCTAATTTCTATTTTCTTTCCTTCTCTGTGTTATCTCAATGACTCATAATCCAGTATACAAAATGCTAATCGAAGACTCTGATTCTAGTGATGAGTTAGAAATAGTTACTGAAGTTCTTACGGCACATGAACTACAAAACAGCAAGAGGGGATCCACGTCACGATGCGGTTCTGTTCTAGGCCATGCGATCATCAGACGTGATTCTTTGCAAGGCCACCAAAGGCTTTTTCTTGATTACTTTGTAGATTCACCAATGTATGATGCAAAGTTATTTCGGAGGAGATTTCGAATGAATCATTCTCTTTTTCTTCGCATATAATCTGTGCTAGAGGCTCACGAACCATATTTTATTGAAAAAAGAAATTGTGTTGGAAAGCTTAGCTTGTCTTCTCTTTAAAAAATGATGGCTACTATCAGAATCCTTGCTTATGGAGTCGCGGCTGACTTTATGGACGAATACGTGAGAATTGGAGAAGCAGTGCAATAGAGAGTTTAGAAAATTTTGTTAAAGTGCAGTGGTTTCGATTTTTTCCGACAAGTACTTAAGGTCACCAAATAGCAATGAGAAGCATTAACTGCATGCACTGGCGATGGAAGAATTGCCCGACTACCTGGAAAGGTATGTTTTCTGGACATGTTCGTGAACCAACAATAATTTTAGAAGCAATGGCTTCATATGATCTTTGGATATGGCATGCACTTTTTGGGTTACCGGGTTCTCATAACGACATCAACGTGCTTGAACGATCTTTTGTATTTTCTGAGCTTGCTCAAGGACGTGCTCCTCCAGTCAATTACTCAATCAATGGGAATAACTATACAATGAGATACTGTCTCGCTGATGGTATATATCTCCAGTGGTCAATATTTGTAAAAACAATTTTATCCCCACAAGGAAACAAAATAAAATATTTTGCTGCCATGCAAGAGTCAACCAGAAAGGATATAGAATATGCATTTGGAGTGTTGAAAGCACGATTTGCAATTGTGCGTGGACCTGCACGATCTTGGAAACATGAAACACTCAAAGACATTATGAAAGCATGCATAATACTACATAACATGATTATTGAAGATGAACAGCATACCAACCAAACAAATGGAGATTTTGAATATGAACACATCAATGCAACTGCCCAGGTACGTATATCTCATGAGCAGACCCCTGAAGTTATGGAGCTCATTCAAAACCATCATAGCATTAGGGATAGAAAAACTCATTGTCAACTCCAATCGGATCTTGTTGAGCACTTGTGGCAATTACATAGTCTATGTCAATAATCTAACAACTGCAAAAATTATACTTGAATTCTTGTTGTGTCAAGGAATAACCATTGCATCAAAGATTGAACCAAAAACATAGCAGTTGCAGACAACAACTAAAATTGGGTGAGCCATTAATAATTATTGCAAATATGCATATATGTCAAAGAGAATGTCTACTTATTCATTCTAACATAATAAAAAAAATACGAATAAAATATATTCCTTGTCTTGCTCATTCAATCCACTTTGGTTAATGGACTCCATCTGGGCCAAGTATGCACAAAATTTATTTGTGCACTTTTGAATTGATCCCCATCGATTCAAAAGAGATACCTTAGATCGATTAGAAGAAAAAGTCTTATACTTGTGGCAGTACTCCCAAATTCTCTTCCAATACATACTCTTCGATTGATCATTTCCTTGTACTGCATCCAAACTAGTATTTAGCCACCCTGATACAAGAAGATTATCTTCTTCTATGGTGAAATTTCCACCACGTGATTTTTTGGCACTACAATTCTATTTCTACTTGGGATGGCAACATTTGACTCACTGGGTTTGGAAATCCAACCAATTCATCATCAAGAGACCCCTTCTATAAGAGATTGGTGAAATATGCATTATGTTGCACTTATGAATCCATTCAACAAGCTCATCAAATAGAGACAAAAAAACAGAGTTAAAATTACAAAGACAAGAAAAAGACCAATTGAAATAAACCAGCTGAAGAAGACCAGTGCAAGAGGGAGATAGACGAAGTGGACTGTTGGGACTGCTGGAGGGAGATAGACAAAGTGGAGGGAAAGACAAGGGAGGGAAAACCAATAGCAGGAAAGACAGAGAAGAGAAAGAAAATAATATATATAATATTTACATATTACTACAATGACACTCTAAATATAAAGTATCACTGTAACAAAAATATATTTTAGATAATATAAATAACATCTATTAAAGATGAATTTTGGCTTTGATTGACTAAATTTTATCTATTTTGTCCATTTACAATATCTATTGGAGATACTCTTAGAATAAATTTGATAAGTTAGATAACTAAAGTAAATAATAAAATATTTAAATATATTTTAAGTAACTATTTTAAATAGATTAACGACTATAAATATTGGAACTCAATGAAATATCACTTTACCCCTTGAATTGTTCCAATTCTCAACCGTCGTCCTTGCTTCGACAGCACCAACCTCTGAACAGAGGTTTCAAGTTCAGAAATGGCATCAGATATATAAGCAGTCAATTCCTTTGTCATCTCTTCTAAACAAACTTCACATGCATCACAACCCATAACTGTTTTCCTTGTTTCTTATTTTCCTTTTTCAATTAAGAATAGGAGTCATGATGTCTAGTCAAAAAGACTAAAAGAACTCTTGAAAAAAATTCAATGTAAAAAAGGCAATTAAGATGGCAAAAAAAAACTCATTGCATTTCCCAAACTATATTTATAACAAAATTACATCAGAAATGCAAATTACTAATACCACTACTGCTAACTAAAAGTAAACCTAACACCAAGACCACTGCATTTCAACACAGTCTAGGCCTCCTTGGGAGACTTGGGATGAGAAGCCTTATGTTCGCCAGTAGTTGATTTCTTAGGCAACAGAACAGGGTTAATGTTTGGAAGAACACCTCCACTTGCAATTGTAACTCCTTGTAGCAATTTCCCTAACTCCTCATCATTCCTCACTGCCAAAAGCACGTGCCTTGGGTTGATCCTGTTCTTTTTGTTGTCCCTCGCCGCATTCCCAGCCAGTTCCAACACCTTTTTCAATGCCCAGAAAACAGAACAGAGTAAACAAAATACCCAAAATCTAAAAATCAAAGAGACAAAAAAAAAAA